AAAAAGGATGAAAAGAATTGGATTTGAGGAGGCGATGGATTGGACAGTTCGGGGAAATATCCACTTTCCCTTGATCAATGAAGTTAGGTAAGGCCCTGTAGACGTACTTGGTAAACGCGGATTCCTATGATCAGCGATCGTAAGGCCACTAATTCGTTTGTCTTCTTATAAAAACAAATGTTTGTTTATGTAAAATGTAATCTACAGTTGTTTGAAATCTAATGTTTTTATGATCGTAGTTTTCGTAAGTGAAAAACACTATAAATGTATAAATGTTCTTGTTTAGAAACTTCCAAGTTACTCATTTATAATTCATACATGATTAACAAACTAAAAGTTAACGAACACATCTGAGCTAACTTCGATCAACTCATTTATTTGTAATTTAATTATACTTTGGAAGTAAACAGGCTACGAGACTGAAAGATATAGGAAGACATTTCAGATATGTTTAAAATCTTTCCAATCATACTAATATTATAAATGTGAAAGTTTAGATGGATGGATGGATGTTTGTTAAAGTTTGTAGCCAAAACTGCTGATCGAATCTTAGTAAAATTTGGCATAGATGTAGAGGATAGTCTGGAAGAACACATAGGCTACTTGGTTTTATTTTATTTAATACCACGCGGACGGAGTCGCGGGCGAAAGCTAGTATTACATACAGAAATAATATAGATATTAAATTAATAAACAAACTACATAAGTATCAATTTCATAAATTTTAATGTAATCAGAAAAACTAAAATATAGTTATAAAGACGTTAAAAAAACCTTGACTTGATTATAGGTTTAAATAAAATAATTAAATAAACATTCATAAAATTGCGCATAAAACATAACCCTTCACTTGTACCACACAAACACAAGCATATAGCTTAATTACCGGCGTCATGAAATTTTAAAATTTATTTAATCTTAAACGTCTACTTTGCATGTATTAAAGTTAATCAGCTTTGCATAAAGTTCATATGAATTTGTGATGTGAAAGTTACCCAACACGCAAATGAAATTAACATACGGCACTCTGCAAGTCAAAGTTCAGTTTGGTTAATCAATATTGTACTGGTGACAAAAAAATAACGAAGTAATTAATTATTTATCATCTACTTTTTGTCAGTACAGTCAGCGCAAATGTTCGTCTTCCGTCTCTCTTCCGTTACTCCTTTCTTGATCATGGCATCTTTTACGCGGTCTATCCATCTCTAAGACTTACCTCTACCAGGTACCTAACTCTACCCTTCCACATTGATAACTTTTAATCAATCCATAATTTAGAATCTGATTTAATTTTTTTTTTGTTAATTCACGAAATATCTAAGGATGTTGAAATAACCAATTTGTATATAACAAATCTTCTCTCTTTATAATATTGGCTTATACAGAATTTGTTAGGCTACGTATTTAATTATTATTTCACTAGAATAACGAAATTAATTTTAACTGTATGCTATGCTAATCTTAATTTTTTTTATTTTACTTTTTTTTTGTCAAACCATAAAAAGTGCCACTATTATCACCACACTTTATGAAATTAATATGATAATACAAAGTGTGAAAGACACTTAAAATAAATATATCTAAGGACAGTATGTGTGCATTCGTACAGTCTCATCTCATGATATATCACGGAAGCTTTATTTCCATTAATACAATAAATTGCTCAAGAAATATGCAGAACTTCGCTCCAAAGCTACTCTAACGTTTTATTGTTGCTCTCAGTAGCAACGCTGTAGTATAATTTAGAATTATATTCTGGAAAATTAGAAAATAAAACAACTCGAGCGTAAAATAAAGTACTTGAATAGATACTTGGCTTTGGGACGTTGGTCACTTGTTCCAAATAACGTAATAGTTCACTTCTTCGATTTAAGTCTGCATTTTCTAAAATTTTGCTCTGAGATTTTATCAATAAAAATGTTTCGATTAATTTTTGTTATTTTTATTTTAATTAACTTAATTAGGTTCAAGTTTTCCTATTTAATTAACTTACTATTTACGTTGTTTTAAAACATTAAAAATATGTTACATTTAATTGTTAATTTTGTTCAATTCTTTAAATATTTTAAATCCTTATTCACCTGGTTTACTGAAAATAGCTAATAACAAAAGCTTTTGTAATTTATAAAGGTTATATTCAAAAAGCAAACAAGTAAAACAATGAACACCCACGGGACTTGTTGAAACATGCTTTATTGAAAGCTAGCGGAGTGTCGTCCTATTTTTCAAACGTGTCTGTTGGGAAAAGTGAAATTTTCCGAGTCTTCGCCGTGCATCGCGAAAAATAAAGCAGCCGCCTTTCAGGAAGCGTCTATTGCATGTTTATCTTTGAAATGATCTCATGAATTCTTAATCTTTGCGAGCGTTGTAAGTGCGCTTTCGTGATTTCGATTCTGTATAAATGTTTATGTACGTTTTTCTTACATCTATACTAATATTATAAAGAGCAAAAATTTGTATTTTTATACATTGAGATAACTCAAAAACTACTGGGCCGATTTCAAAAATTCTTTAAGCATTACAAAGTTATCATAATCAATATTTTTTAATTTCATGCGGGCGACATCGCAAGCAACAGCTAGTCTTTCATGTGCATATAGAGTGTAATGAAAAGAAAATAAATAATTAATAAAAAGTAAGTTAAGTAACAAGAGTCGTTAAATAATTTCTTGAAAACTGGTTATAGCATAATTGATTTATTACCTTGTATCTCTTTGAATAAATTTGTTTACGCATATAATAAAACTCATATATGTTTCTGATGTATCACCTCCTTGAATAGATTCGTGTAGGATCTGATTTGTCAAAATGATTCCCAGAATCCTTTACGATAAACATGTTATAAACATTTTGTGACCCTAATGGATTTTAATAGAAATGAAAGAAATATAAGCTAACGAGACGAACAGAAAATTTTCTTGGAATCTAATTTGTGAAAGTTTAGATGAATGGATGTCTGTTGCTAGGCATCTCCAAAACGGGTCTCACTCAATTTTGATATAATTTATACAGATGATAGGAAGAAAAATACTAAGGGCCTGTCCCACCACTGGCTGATAGAAGCTCAGATAGCTCAAAAGTGACTTCACTGTCAAATAGAGTATTAAAATCCGATTTTTCCATAACGTATTTTATACGTTGGATTGTTATCTGATAGTAACTATTTGTAAGTAAAAAAAAAACAAAAGTGAGTAGCCTATGTATTTTTCCAGAGTATCCTCTACATCTATATCAAATTTTATCGAAATCCGTACAGCCGTTTAGGCTACAAAATCTAACAAACACCCATACATCCATCCATCTAAACTTTCGCATTTATATTATTAGTATGAATTAGCACAGTTTTCCTTGGATAGTGGGTATTCTGCCGTTGACAATATTAACTAAATATATTTTCATTAAAATTCACTTTAGCGAGAATATGGTAATTAACTGCATTCACTGCTGCAGTGTGTAAGCTTGTAACTAACTTTCGTTGAATTTATGAGCATGCAAATGAGACCTAAACTCCTCAGCCTTTCCTTTCAACACACCATTGAACCGCTGTTCCAAATTTATGTGTGGATGTTAATTTTATTTTATATTCACATTGATGAATACACATTAGGTTACACCTGTATACTGAAGTTGTAGATTAATAAAACTTTATTTTATGTTTAAATATAAAGACTAAAGCTGAAGTATTTTTAGGCAAATGTGCGACGGATACACCGAGGTGTTACGCCCAAGCAGATACATTGTAGGCATCTAAGAAAGCGATATACTCGCTTCTTGGAGAACCTTAAGTCATACTTGTTTAGAAAAATCACTAAGGGTAAACCGTTCCACGAGACGAACGGGGGACATGATGCGGGACATGAAATTCCATGAGTAGCGCAACATTTAGAAATACCAGCCATCCTCGTGGTGAGAATAGAAGCTGGCGTTTCGTCGTGTCAAACGACAGAACTTGGCGGAACTGATAAAATTTGCACATGTATTCATGTAACGTGAATATTTTAAGGGAAAATCAAAGAAGCATGACAACCTCCACCTCATGATAGTCTAAAGAATTTTGGTATATACATTAAAGTATAACTTTTTACATTAAAAATATAGGTATGAAAGTGTATCATAAAATATAACTTTCCCTTTATTACAGTTACTTGTTCTTAACTTAACCATTTTCTTATCGGGTTCATATGGTATCGTTAAGTAACACGTTTGTATTCATAAAGCGCTCGGAAGTTGAGAAATATTTTATAGACACGAACATTTTTCCTCGAGTAAATCATACGGTGAACATTTTCACTTGACCATTGCCCAAACACAGCGCAGCCGCGCCATGAAATATTCATAGCTGTTTAAGAAAGTAAGACGCATTGCTTTGTGAAGTTTTCTTAATTCTTTTATCTGTACTGGAAACATTAAATATATGTGAAGCGTTAATTTTAAAGATATGAGTGGTTTACATAGACTTAGTACTCTAACTGTTCGTAGGTTTTTGTTCTGAGCTGCGGTCAATAAAGTAAATGCTAACTACATATTATATTTGATTTAAGTAAATGAAGTCAGAGATAAAAATAATATCATAGTTTTGTATCAAGAATAATTCTTTATAAATCAATTTAAAATAAAACTATCTAAAAAATGAAACATTTGTGTAGAATGTAAATGAAACAAACAAACATATTAATTGTTTTTTATTATAAACTTTCTTACAATTTTAGACAAATAACATTTTCGTAATCTTCATTTATTCCGTTCAATAAATAAAATTTTTAATTCATTAACCATCGGATTTTGTACATTGTTTGCATTTAATTTATTTTACAAATTTATTTATAGAGGCTTAACGCTTTATATAAATTGGTTCATATTCACACTTTGTATTAAATTAGTTATAAAATCAACTGTTTAGATTTATTTCTTATTTCGTGTAAATTATTGATAACTTAGCTACATTTTCTACAACATCTCAAATTCAATTATAATAATTTATTACCATAAGATAATGAAATTACACAATGAGTCGTATATTTTACAAATACACATTAAATTACGATCATAAATTTTCTTAACTGTATCGTAAATGGCAACATTACTTATAGAGAAATGATCGATCGACATTCCAACAAAACACTCAACGTGGACAAATGCCAAGTCTATAGAGATTTAGATAGTAACTCAAGTGCCAAATCGCAAAACGTTGAATGGACCTATAATATATAGCGTCGACGTATAGAATATTAGAATAGTTTTATCCACGGAACATTTTGCTGAGCTCTGCTGCATCGCTGCCGGGTGTTCACCTAAAACGAAACATTTATTTTATTTCTGGAATTGTTTCTCAGTTGAATGAAAATGAAATTATTTCCTTTTATGTTGCAAAATGATTAGTTGTCTTAAAGAATATTTTACTAGTTAAACTTATTTCTAATACTGATAAAGGTGGAGGTTAAAATCGAAGGCCACTTCTATCCGTTCAATTAAAGAAACCTCTGCTTTTAAGCAATTCAATCTATATTTAGTATATCCATTAGAAAATAATCGATGTTTTCTAGTAGAAGAACAATGAAATACTAATATTAACCTCTTACCGGAGAGAACATGGACTCTGGTAGATGCTGGCGGAGCGTTGTTAGGGCCGCAAGTATACACGCCGGCGTCAGCGCCCCTGGCTTGCTGGACGAGCAGCCGACTTGTGCTACGTAGTCCTTTCTCAGTCACCAATGAAATACCACCTCTTGCTGAGTCGAAATTGATCACCTAAAATTGTCATTAAAACAAATAAAATAATTAAAAAAAAATTGAATTGAATTGATTGTTATTTGTTTTATTTTCATGTAATTTGTTTTACTTTAGTTTGTCTATAGTAACGTCGTAAATCTATACTACGAGTAATACGAGTATAATAAAGAGAAAAGGTTTGTATTTCTTATGTATTGAAATAACACAAAAAATAAAGGTACGTTATCAGTAACATAAGCTACGTGTGTTTAACTAACGAGGCAAAGTCGCGAGCTACAGCTAGTTGATAATAACTTGATAAGTTTTTGACATCATATTGTAATGTTATGTGTTAACTAAGCTAAGTAGTTCTTCAAGACTATTTAAATATCTGATAAAACTTATGTTAAGTTTATATCCAGTCAAAAATAACCGGGTCATGTCAACATCTGGTACGATTGCCCGATTTTGTATTTCACATTTTATACTGCTTGTATTTCACCGCAACACGCAGTATACTTGTTACTTTATGTACAAAAGTTTTAGTCGTACAGCTGCAGTTTACCGCATCGTAGCTAAGATGTGAACCTTCTAGCCCCACATCATTGCTAATGGTCTTAGCTTCTTTCTCCGGACATTTATGTATCTTTTTTACTTCTACATTATGTTTAGTATTATACACTTGTGAGGACTTACTTTTAAACATTTGTTAGTTAACAAGAAATAAAGAAGTTAAAATAATGTTTAATTATATCGTCCAACAACCAAGATAATTTTATGCTTCTTTTGGAATATTAAAAGATGATCAGAAAACCTAGAAGTTTTAACAGTTAACTATAATACGTCTATGTATAACTAATAATCTAAACAATTTCTATAAGATATTAGGAATAGCTGTGTATCTTTGTTATTATTGTGTATTGAACTGTTGGTTACTGTCTCTGACAGACGCCCACCTGTTTTGTACAGTCCGCCAACGCACTTTCTTTGCTGTCACGCACATCTACTTTATATTCTTGTTACAATGACTTAAAAGATACTTTATATGACATCGATATTGTTTTTAAACTGATAATTTAAGAAATAAATCTAGCACTGACGTTTATTTTTTCGGTAAGGTCCTTCTTCGAGTGTTATTGGACTTTCCCTAATATGTCCGAAAGTCGGTACCGCCACCGGAAAAATGGACATAAGTGCTAGCTGTTATTAAATTAGTTATAAGAATATATTACAAAAGTTTAAACAATTTAATCTGAATAAAACTCTTCACTACTTTCTAAAATTAAATGCATGCATTAGATTTCTTTTGATAAGTATATAAAATACGTTGACTAGAATCATAGATCTAGCAATAAATGTTGGCCTAGTTAAAATAGATTGCCGTTTCATTTACCTGCTCGCCGTGTGTCCACGTAATAGATGAGGGGGGTTCCGGCGTGTGTTTCACTATGCAAGTGAGGTTGATAGTTGAGCCAGCTTGTATGAACAGTTCTGCGCCACTCGATACGACTGTTTCAGGTTCTAAACCGAAGGTATATTTTAAAGTGACAATAAAAAAAAATATACTAGAATACATATTATATGTATGTATGATTCAGATATGACGGCTGATAGAGATGTATGGAAGAGCAGCACATACTGTGCCGACCCTCCATAAGGGATAAGGGCAAGTGGATGATGATACTAGAATACATATTGACGTAAAATTATTATTTTTACGTTCGTTTTTAATGAATCATTAATTGAAAATCATACAGAACAGAAAAGTAAAGATTCTGGATATATAACCACTACGAGCTGTTGCCCGCGACTTCGTCCTCGTGGTATTAGAAAACATACGAACTATACAAATTACAAAAAGTTACGTATCGCTCAGGAACCGGACATTTCTCTGGGATGAAGCTTATCTCATGTGTACTCCAGACTTTGTTATATATCTGTGCCAAATTTCAATAAGATATGTTGAACCGTTGCAGAATGATCGAGTGAACATTAAAAAACTAAATTAATGAATCCCTCGGGAACCGTAACTATTTCCGGTATAAAAAGTAGCCTATGTGTTCTTCCAGACTATGCTCTAAACCTGTGCCAAATTTCATGGAGATCCGTTCAGCTGTTTAGGCTACAAACGCTAACAAACATCCATCCATCCATCCATCCATCTAAACTTTCTCATTTATAATATTAGTAAGATAATAGAACGTAAAATAAAAAGGGAAATACCAAGAACAATGTAGTATAATCTAGAGGATGATATAAGAGAGAGATGACAAAAAATTGCTCACTTCAACACAGTTCTGTAGTAAAATAGAAAGAGACTTGGCTAAAAACCAATAAAATAGACTTGCAGGAGTAATTTAATATCGATAATCTCTTACCTACAATATTGAGGAATACAGCATGTCCAATAGGAGGAGTGGTTGAAATCTGGCATTCGTATTGTCCCGAGTCACGTCGCTGAGGACTTCGGATTCGCAGCGCCCATTCTTCAGAGCGCGGTTTGTGTTGTGCTTCGAACCTCTGGTCAGATGTATACGTGTACCTTCCTACTGTTAGTAAATGGATATCGCGGTGACGTACCCATGATACCTTGTAAAAGAAATTTATCATTTGTTTAGGAATTTTAAGCTTCGACTTGTAGGCTGTGTAACGACTCATTAAAATTTAAACATATTTTTTTCTGTTACAAAATGGTTGAAGTTTTTACCATAAATTTGTAAAGGTATGTTAATGATTTCGATCGTTTTAGTCCATTTAAAAGACTGCATTTTATGAAATTTGAAAGCAGTAATGAAGTAGCAAAATAACGCAATAATTTAGACCTTTCTCATGAATTTAATTAACGATAATTAAGCGCAACATCTTTTAACGTAAACACAAAAATAAAACGGCAATTCCTTAATTATGTCAAGAGTAAAATAAGGGGCCATTTATCTATTTAAGTGCGAACGAAACTAAAGAGACACGCTCATCGCTCGGCAAAAACAAAATTACGAGATACAATATTACTCAGCCTGCTTTGCTCGGAGTGTAATTGCTGTCTGTACCAAGGAGCACTTAACTAACGAACTGGACCATTTAGCTGAAGACGCTTTAATTTCAATGGCCTGTGAAATACTGCGCACCTAAATGAATTCTTGCAAAATTCGATTTTAATAAACGACAAATTTCTAAATGCCAAACTAATGAATTACAAAATTGTGATTAAAGCATTTGGTATACCAAGAATTACACAGTAATTTTAGCATTTGAGACTAAAGCTGAGATGGGTAGAAGGTGTATATCGTGACGCATAAATGTGGGCATAATGAATTGAGGTCGATGCCCACAAAGAGACGGAGGTGGAAGAAATTGCTCGACCACACCAAGGTCCACAAAGGGCTGCAGAGTTAAGGAAGAGAGGTATTTTAGAATCTACGGATTGCGTAAAAAGTTTTCTTTCTCTTTAACTCTCCACAATAGTAACTTGAGTCACAGGGGTTAGCAGGTAAAGCAGTAATTTTTTTAAATGTTTTAGAATCCTATTATATGTTTTTTAATTTTTATCACGTTAAAATGATAGCTAACATTTAAAACACACGGTTATTTTAACTAAGATTGAATACTTACAGTCCTGTTTTGTAGATTCTTAACTCTGCACAACAAGCGTACTGGGTGGCCAACCAAGCCTGTAATGTTGCGAGGCGTGTTAGGGTCGAAGTATGGGGCGTCCGCGGCCTCGTGCCATTCCTGTAGGAACTCAGCGCGGAATCTTCTCGAAGAAATGTCCATAGTAGATGAGTCTGATGGTGTTTCTGTGCCGGAATCAGCTGTTAGATGAAATAAATTATATTAATCCAGTTTCTGGAAGATAAATCAAGTAATTTTACTATTTTTATTAGTAAAAAAGAACCGTAATTATTTTTACTGGTACATAAAGTAATTAAGTTATCAGGGGTATTATTTCAAAAACATTACTGTATAACATAAGTGTTAAGGCATTTTAGAAAACATCTGTTAGTATTCTGTGACTGAAAGCAAACTTTGTATGTGAAAACTATAGTTTTTCAAAGATGTAAGCGGCTTATTTCAAGAGGTTGTCTTCTATTCTTTCATAGATGTTTAAAGAAAAATTGCAGATGTACTTTCCAGCTATTTAATACCGCTAAGTAAGTTATTTTAGAATATTTATTTGTTTACCAGTTACTGTATCGATAAATCTTTTTAACAGAATAAATTGAATTTTCCTAACAAAGTTGTCATTTTAAAGTTGTTTTAATAAAGAAAATTGCTGCTTGCAAATATAATCTTTCCACGAGAGCTTTTCGTGGCATATTGTTTGGATAACTTCATTTTTAAAAATTATATTCCGGAGATTTTACCCTCTTAAGCAGACAAAAGGATGAGCTTTTCAGACTTTTTAGCAGCAAAAGACCTGTTTTAACGATACAAAATGTTTCTTTATTTATTAAATTTAGTTTCTTTAGGTTTATAAAAAATAATTGACTTAGTAATATTAGTTTAAATAAGTAATGTCTCTGTGTATGATTATTTAAATGTAAAAGATTTGTTAACAATACAACTTCGAAATTAGCTTTGTCGTTATTTCAATAATCAAGTAAACTTTTTTTTTTAATAGTTGAAAAATGTGTAATACTTACCAGTAAGGAATACAAATCCATGTAGAAGATAGAGCCATATGGTTGTCCTAACACCGCTGACTCCTTGACCCATTATTAAAAAAAATAGGCCAGTGCTGTGAAGAAAAAAATAAAATTAGTAATGTCAATGTTTGAATAATCTTATAAACATTTTAAAAAGACTACAGTATAAGATTGTTGGTTATGTCAAAATATTTAATCAAATATATGCAATACAAAAATTTGTAAAAGAAATAAACTATAAAAAAGGATCCATTGTTTTTATTCCAGAAACAGGTTTTTTAAGTAATAAAAGGGCGGAAACCTGATAACGATGGACTATTTTGGAATGAAATTTGTCCCGTTAAATATTTTGTAAAAAATCACTCAGTAAAGGAAACAAATATTTTAAAACTAAATTCAATTAACTTTAAAAAAAATATTTCCCTCAAGACTAGTTTACGAAAAGCACAAGCGGTTTACCCGGACTTTTAGAGGCTTAAAGTTAGCCTGCTACTTATAATTAGATTCAAATCTTGGCTTACGTAATTAATTAAAACTAAAAAAAGGAACGAAAGTAGAAATGTTTTATTTACTTTCATTTGTTTTATCAATTGATACATGAATGAGATTTATTTTAGGCTAACACGAAACGTTTATCGTTATCTTAAGGGTGAACATTATGATAATTATAACACCCTTAGGTTAGCTTTGTAACTTAATGACGTCACCGTAAATTGATAAGGTTATTCAATTAGTTGTTATTGTCGGTTACCACGCGACGTTGACATCTCAGCAAATAAAATTACAGCGTTGCGTGTGACGGCATTATTTTTCATACATTCTGATAGCGGATTATAAGTCTATTTACAAACTGGAAAAAGAGGTAGTATAGTTTGTCTAAATAAAATAGATTAGTTTGATAAATGACGCATATGAAGTATCGAATTCAATTGGTATGAAGGCAAATGCCATACTTAATAGACAGGTATCGTAGTGACGAACAAACACACATAGCGAACAATTTTGAATTATCGATATTCGGTTTAAATAATTATCGAACTCAACTAAAATTATTATTTTCTAATTCACTAATTTAGAGGACAATTCTAGTATTGATTACAGTGTAGAGAATTTAGCGATGACAGAAATAATAGCGAAATGCAATTCGATTACGTACGGCTGTAGTAGTAATAAACATTTGTTTACTCTCAATATTTGTTATGGTCATTATTAATTTTTGAAAACAGTGTTTTTTTTTATTTCAGAAGTTATAACTATAAATTTATCGATTCCAACTTCTATAGGAATAAAAATCGAAAATCGATAAGACTCATGACTGATTTTACACAACCCATCCCTACTAAATTTGAAGTGAATTGTCAAAATAATCTATATTATTTAGACACACACTAATTACATAGACTTTAAAGTTGTAAACATTTAAATATTCGCTTTTAAGCAAAATCAGATTGTAGTAAATTCAGATATTTCGAAAGCAAGTTAAATGTGTTATAACAAGGCTTAATGTTAAGCACATACGCAAAAAATATGCCGCGTAATTTTGTAATATCGAATTTCCGGATCTTTACTCCGCCAGCAATTTATATGAAATGTTTTTCCTTGGTTATATTTTGATTTGAACATTTTTGTATTAACGATAAGTAATTTTTCGTTTAAAAATAAACGCGAATACTATAATTATCAAATACAAATTCATATTCAGTTTTCAGGAATAAAAAATACAATGCTAGTAATTTTTAAATGAAATATTATTTTTCGAAATTGTAACTCTTTTTCATCACTTTGGTTTTCCTACCAATAAAACTTCAAACAATCGAGGGTCAACTAACTTC